TTAAAGTTATGACTGCCTTTACCAGTTTATGTTTTTCCTTTGTGTCTGGAAGTTTTATTTGTCCTCTTTTATCTGTCCTATTTTACCCTGCAATTAAAAATAAAAGATAAACAACACTGAATTTAGCAGGAAATTCTTTTTTGTTTTTAATTTTTTTTTTATTTCAGCATATTACAGGGGTACAAATGTTTAGGTTACATATATTGCCTTTGCCCCACCCAAGTCAGAGCTTCAAGCATGTCCATCCCCCATAGTAGGAAATGCTAACAAAACAATTCAATGGATATTTATTGACTACCTTCTATGTCCTATGGATGCAGAGATGATGAAATTCAAAACAAAGTGAAAGAGACAGAAAAGTAAAGTGATAAATTTGGTATTTTCTGATAAGAGCTGTGTTTGGGGTTGTGTTAAGGACAGTGAGCTTTGGGAGCACATTGAAGAGGTTCTCAACCCAGGGAAGAGAAGAAATTCCAGGGCAGTGATGTCTTCACTAGGAATTGAAGATCGTGTAGGACTAGGTCTGGTAAGATAGTGAAGAGAGGTGGGAACAGGGGAGCAGCCCAAGCAAAGAGATATGTACAAAGATCCAAAGTCAGCACAGTTCATTCATGAGACTGTGAGTATTTCAACAGAATACAGATGTGCTGAATTAATTACAAATCAAAAGAGTTCAGTTTCTCTTCAAAGTTTTTCCTTGGATTAAGTCACTTCACTAGTTCTACCTCCATTTCTTAACTTGTCAATTCTTGACAATTTTTGTCAATTCTCTGCTCAATGCCTCAGCTTAAATATTCATATTATAACTAAAAAATGAGTTTATTCCATATGATATTCCCAACAACAGGGTCTTCTTAAAGCCTAAAGAAGAATAGTGCTGAGTTAATGTGAGTTGAGAAATATGTCCAAAGATATCAGTATAAAATAGAGACCATGATATGTGGCCATAGTTGTTATATAATAATAATTATTATTGTAGTAATAGTAACTACCATTTATTGAATGTTTACTAAATGCCAAGCACATTTAATCATCACTTCAACCTATGAGATGGCTGCTGCTATTATCCTTGTCTTACAGATGAGTAAACTGAGGCTTGTCAAGGTTAAACTTTCTCAAGTTTAAACTAGGAAGTTAGGAAGTGTCAGAACTAGGATTTGAACCAGTTCTAACACCAAAGATTAGGTCCTAAATACTACATTGAAATATTAAAGATATTCTTTATTTTAAATACCTGAAAGTTTTGTTATCTTAGTAATTTTTCATGACCATAAGCAAAAGAACAGGCACATAATAACATCTTAGTTGGCTTCTTTTCTTTAAAAACAAAAAACTAGATGCAGAGGGCAGTGATTACTTAAATGAGGATTTTCTTTTCCATTTCCACCATAGATAAAATTTTGAAAGTTCATCAACGTTAACACCACCTTCACCAAAGTATTGTTTTTTACTAACAGCAGTTGAGTACCCATTATAGTGGCAGGCCCTGTTTTAAGGACTTTGCTTTTATAATGTTGTTAATCCTCACTCCCCTGGGAAACAAATATTATCCATGTTTTACAGATGAGAAAACCAAAGCGCAGAGAACTGAAGTAAATTTCTTAAAGTCACACTACTGCTAAGAGGTGAAGCCAGAATTTGAAATCAAATCTATCTGGTTCCAAGGCCAATGCTCATTCTATGTTGCCTCAAGATAAAAGTCATCTGAAAATAAAGAGTTAAAGCAAAGTAACATTAAAACACAATATATAGTCACGTCCAACTAGTAGACGACAGCAGGCCATCCTGATTCATAAGGCATTTAATTCCCCCTCCCATCTAAAATATACAAAAACATAAACTAGACTAAAGAAATAGTTGATTTACAAATGAGGATTTTCAGTTTATTAATTACATTTTCAAATAGTATTTTTCTCCTTATTTCCTATATCTTTAACTGTTCGTCCACATGGTTGATGCACAAATGAGAAAAACTTTCAACTGTGGTATCAATTACATTTCTATATACTGTTTTGTATATTATTCACTGTTCTATGAAATTTAAAATAGCCATATAGTTCATTTAATGAGTACCTTATAATTTAATTAACTGATTTCTTATTATTGGACATGGTGCCAATTTTTTAATATCATCATCCATTCTATGATGAACATCTTTGTAGGAAAATCTTTGC